CCCCCCCCAGTTAAAAATTGTGCAACAAGTACCTGTTATTTCTTAATTTAAATTACATACTAATCGTATTTATTCTTCTTCTGTCTTTTGCCTCGCAGACCAGAATCTGTAGAAGCTAGCCCTGTGGTAGTTGAAAAATCGAACAGTTATCCGCACCAGTTGTATACCAGCAGCTCGCATTCGCACAGTTACATTGGTTTGCCCTATGCAGTAAGTTTCATGCCAGGTATTCTGTGTAAAATAGATTCTGTCAAATCTGCTGCTCTTAACTGGAAAAATGCTGATTTGTGCTTATGTTTTTATGTCTTACCGGGAGTTGGGTAAGTTGGCTAAAGATGGTTGATTAGAAGGAGGATACAGAACATAGTGTACTTGTGTGTAGAACATAGTTGAGAGGTAAAAACCAAGAATAAGCAATGATAGAAACAAAATTTGAAACTGTTACTGAAAAATAAGAAGTCTCTGAAATTCTTTACAAAGTGAATTGTGGCTTTTTGGCTTAAGTAACTGTTGGTGTATGAATGTTTAAGAGCTATAACTTAACTTTCCACAAAAATCTAGGACCACAACTATGGTGCTCGGCCTCCTCCAACACCTCCAGCTTCTCCTCCTCCGTCAGTGCTTATAAGCAAGAATGAAGTAGGCATATTTACCACTCCCAACTTTGATGAAACCTCCAGTGCTACTACCATCAGCACGTCAGAAGATGGAAGCTATGGAACTGATATTACCAGATGCATTTGTGGCTTTACACATGATGATGGATATATGATCTGTTGCGACAAATGCAGGTAATGAATATTAATTTGAAAGGTAAAAATGACTTAAAACTTCAAGCTGCATAGCTAAATGATGTTTTAAGTATGTTGAGTCGTAGGAAATTTCCTTGCATCCAAACAGTGTTGGAAGGTTGCATGGCTAAGAGGCAAGGTAGTTGGTTAAGGCCAGTGAGTATTTTATACTTTATTCCAGTCTGTCTTGATTACTCATGTGTTCATGCCTTTATTTATGCATTGTTGCTTAAAAAGTGTATATCTTTTTCTACTCTGAAAAGGATATCTCTTTGGTATTTTGTCCAAGTTATTTGTTAGTATGGTGAAATAAAGACCTAGGGACTGGTTCTTAATCTGCATGTACTGAGTAATGAAGCATCTTGGTACATTACGTATATGTAAATTAAGTAACTTGTAGGATGCAAAATAATCTGAAAGAAACTTCTCAAATATTGGTTTATCCATACATGATTTTTCTGATAAGAACTCTTAATTTTTAAAGGACATAGTTTTAAGAATTTTAATAACTATGAAAAGACCAACCTAGATCCTTAGCGAAGAAACTGAAGTTAAATGTTTTAACCTCTGTGTTCATGCTGAGCACCTACTTGATCATAGTAAAGTAAGCGGGTGCCATTAAATACTTGGATTTGGAAAAAAGAGTTTAGAAATTTGGAGAGCTGATACATTTAACAGGAGAAGACAAATCTCGTATTTCTGGACTTACTCAGCATTAGTCAGTATTTTTATATTCAATATACTTAATGAACGCTGCTGAATTTATTAGATCATTGAGTATTTCTGAAATGATTGTTATGGCTAATTAAAACATCAGTTTGAGCTCTGTTCTTCTGTCTGCTTATGTATTAATTTTTTATGGTCCTTGATTCTGATAACCTTTTCCCTTATTTTGGAATGTATTCAGATATTCTTTCAGCAGTGGAGCTGTAGGCAGTCACCGGTCAGGTGAAATCTGCTTCTTTTCAAGAAGAGATTCTCTCTGAGGAGTTGGAGAGAGTTCTGATTAATTCACAACTGGGAAGATAACAACAATTTCTGTTTATTAGTTCCTTGTAGCAATGCGGGGATGAGTATAAGCTACTGTTGTAGGATAGCCTTCAGTGTGGCAAGCAGCCTTTCTTCCCTGACTGAAAAGCAGTTAAAACTCTTCCTGTGCTGCACAACAGGGCTACCAGTCATGTGGGGTGTGTGTATAAAAAGTATCTTCTATTAAAATACATAAATAAATAAACCCGTATATTTGTATGCATATGTTGATACAGAAAAATAAAGCTAATATGTATATATTTATAAAAAGAAATAGAATGTTTTTGCTTAAAACCAAAACTGTTACTGTATAAAGCATAAGTCTTGTTGCTGAGGGTATTTGTGTCTGTCTTGTTCTCTGTTGTGATGATTTACCATTTTTTATTTCCAGTGTTAGAGAAAAATTTCCAAGAGGGAAAATGTGTCTAAAGAAGCAGAGAGACACCGGAGACAGCCACAAGATTGGAATTACAGTGATCAGTGGAATAGAAAATCAGCTAGCAGAGTGGTGGCGAAGACAGTGATTGAGATGTAGTTTTAGGCAGTGTTCAATCTAAGTAAAGATCATGATGAAAAAAATCATGGCTTGCTCTGTGTGTGTGTATGTTATGCACACAATTTAAAAAATTATATGTAACATAAAAAGATGGTTTTTTGTTTGTTTCTTTTAAAGTGTCTGGCAGCACATTGACTGCATGGGGATCGACAGGCAGCATATTCCTGACATATATCTGTGTGAACGTTGTCAACCAAGGTGAGTGATTTGGTTGATTTTGAACTGTGAATAACTAGATTGAGTAGAGAATATAAAGAGAGGAGGTACTGGAGCAACCAACAGATGAAACACAGACCATGTAGCATAATCATGACAATTCTAGTTCAAGGAGCTACATTGCTGATGCAGATAATCTTACCAGTCTCCATTCCCTTTTTCACAGTAGTCATTGTTTCACCTCAGTAGGCAGCAGGGATAAACCCTTGAAATGCTTTCTGAAATACCAGTGGTTCCTGCATCCTTTCTCAGGCTGATGCATAGACAATAAATTCCGTATTTTGTTCTATGTTGAGAACTGTTAACAGCAGTGGTTTCAGGTCAGCTGCCCTGCGAGTATTTCTCGGTGTCTTTTGGGTTTATGGCCCCATTCCAATGTGCTGCAGTGCTCATTTGTAGGATTTCTTGCTCTGGAATTTGTATTTGTCTGCCCCCGCCACCCCCAACTTGAAGTCACATGACATGACAAGGAGGGCATTTTGTTCTGACTGTGTGGTGGGTAGATTATACCTGACTGTCATCATAGTTGTCCTGTGATGTACAGTATAAAATGCTATCTGTTACTTATGTTGCAGATTGTTAATTAAACAGTGAATAAAAGACATGCATGTTCAAAACATTGTAATTACAAATAAATGTTTCTTTTGTTTCTGAGAAGTAGTTTGAACCTTGTTGTGATAGAATATTTGTTTTGTATTATATTGTGACAATTGTTTTGAAGAATCTGCAGGAAAATGGTTGAATGCCTGCTTATCTGTAATCCATGGACCAGCTGTCAATCTTTCTTCTGAGCTATCAAGTTTCATTATGTTTTAAGTGATTTACATACATGTGTGTGCTTTGCATTAAAATAGAACAGAACAATGCACAACTGATGTTTTTCTAAGAATCTAAACATTTAGCTAGTCTACTGTGTATTGTGGAATAGTCAATGGAAAATAAGTATGAAAAGGTCTATTTTAATACTTCAGTGTACTGATGCGTGAGGGTAAAGAATGGAATAAAACTTTTTTTTTTAATTTCAGGAGTTTAGATAAAGAAAGGGCAGTGCTGTTGCAGCGAAGGAAAAGGGAAAATATGTCAGGTGAGTAAACCTTAAAGATATTTACTTAGTAAAGATTATAAAATAACTATGTATCAACGATATAGAGTTAAAAGTGTATACATGGTTCCTGCAGTTTTGATAGCTTTCGCCATATAAGGTTTGGTAAATCAATGCCTTTTACTTAACTTTATAGTTACTAAGATAACATTATATCAGAATTGTTGCAGTTCCACGTGTTTTATTAAGGGTTGTCACCACTGCCTTTTTTCTTATCACTCTGGAATAATTCAGACTGTTTGAACACTTCTGAAGTTTCATAATAGTGAATGTAGCTTTGATAGTGACTAGACTACTTTGAGTAATCTACTGAAAATAAGATGGAAAAGGTTCAGGGTTCTTCTTCTATGATAAGAGGGTTACTAAATCTACTTTCTTCTTGGAAAAAAAAAATTCACGGCTTTGTCATTTTTTCGTTCATAGTACAGACTACTCATATCTTCATACTAATCTCTTGAAACTGTTCCATCGCAAGTGATATTCCTGTCTCTGAGAATTACATAACTGAAATTTGAAACAGAATCACAGCGTCACAGAATGCGAGCTCAGAGTGAAGAAATTCTTCCTTGTGTTCAGCTGGAGCTTCCTGTGCTTCAGTTTGTGCCCATTGCCCCTTGTCCTGATGCTGGGCACCACTGAAAAGAGTCTGGCCCCATCCTCATGACACCCATCCTTGAGATATTTATAAGCATTTAGAAGGTCCCCTCGCAGCCTTCTCTTCTTCAGGCTGAACAAGCCCAGCTTCCTCAGCCTCTCCTCGTAGGGGAGATGTTCCAGTCCCCTCATCATCCTTGTAGCCCTCTGCTGGACTCTCTCCAGTAGCTCTTCATCTTTCTTGAACTGGGGAGCCCAAAAACAATCTAGTGTAGTTTGAGAGGGCATCCTAATTCTGATTTCTTGGCTGTAGATTTATGTGTGTATGTTAGTGTGTTTTAGGATTTGTTTTGACAATGAGAAAAATTGCTAAACTTGGATAATACAGTTATATGATGTTTTGAGGGTTTTTTGGCCTTTGATAACTAGATGAGGCGTGTGGTGCAAGTACCTGTTTCAGTGTGTATATTTTATGAAATTAGCTGTCCTACTGTTTATAGAATTTCAGAACTCACTTGGCTTAACTTGTCAGGAGTTCTCTCCAGCCATTACCAAAATGTGCTGTGGATTTCTTGATTGACAGGGGATACTTTCAAGATCTATTATAAAAGTCATGATTTGGGAGGAAGTCAGCCTCCTAAACGTAGTATGTTTTACTTTCAAATCATGTCTCTGAAGTATTGGGGTATGTGCAAGTGTGCGTGTGTGTTAGGATTTCTTTAAAAAATACTGTGTGGGTAAGGTCCTGCTGCCTACTTGATATACCTTCAGAAAGTTGTGGACTGTGTGATGTGGCCTACAAGTGTGTGTGGCTTAATAGCACTTCTTGGTGCAGTTGACACTTTTGCTGTCTGGTGCTAAGCTGCCTTAAGTCCCTTTAAGGCATTCATGACTTTAGAACGCCCCAATCACTTTTCGTTTCGTCTGTTTTCTTTTTAACAAAACCAAACTTACTTTGTAAAGTTTTGATTGACTTGCTAGATAGGACAATTTTTTTTAATTTAAAATCAAATTTTAAAATAATAGAATCAGTACGTTTATATTTCATTTGGAGTTAATGAGTTCACTAAATAGTATGATGATATTGTGAAGGTGACCTTGAATTCACATATAGGATAGGGGAAGTTGATGGTCTGAGCTATTTAAGTCATCTCTTAGCATTTGTAGCTACGCTATCGGATCATTTACTATAAACTTAAGGGAAGAGAGATAGACAAAGTCTTAGCAGGAGCTATAGAGATTTTACCTTTGAAGTTAGTATTCGGTGCTCCTTAATCCTGATCAGTCTTTTAAATCTGCTCTATGCATTCAATAGGAAAAGAAATACTAAATGATAAATCATAAGTATCAAAAAAGAGTGAAAGATAAATTGTAATCCTGTCTAAGACTCAGTTGAAGTGCAATATTAGTTACTGTGATGTATAATACATTACTTAAAATAAGCCAATGCTTGAATCCCCAGTTAATTTTCATTTAGGCAGCACACTTGCTTGGCTAAATGCACTTTTTGAATGTTGATTGATAATACATGTTTCAGTCAGACTTAAAGTGATTCTAGATATGAGCTGTCTACTGTGAGACATTAGTAAAAATGGCCAGTTTTTGTAGATGATTCCAAGTAGGAAAAGCAAAAATGGCATCAGTTTGAATGTATCTCAAGCATTCAACAGCAGTAGAATGTAACTTGTAATTTACTTACTAATAAGTTACAGGTGTTTGATTAAAGATAAGTTTGCATTATTTTAATGGTCTTTGAGTAAATGTATATATAGGGCTTTTTTTTTAGGCTTACATGTAATAGGGGTTTCATGTAGAGGTTAGAATACAGTATAATGGTTTTTATTGTAAAGATTTCTGAAGAGTTGCTGCTTTAGCCATGTTGTGTCCAAAGCTAAACAGTGGGGATCAAGTAGCAGATCAGTTGGTTTGCCTCACAGAATGAGCTTTTAAGTGAACATTGCATGTGATAGGAAACTTAGTGAGAGTCTTGAACTTTTATGCGTAACCACATCACCTTTTTTCCTGGCAACATTTGTAACCCATTGTCCTGGGGCCTGTGCTTGTATGTGGTGGTGCTGGTTTTGTTGTTCTGGTATAAAACCACAATTCTGGTGCAGCTTACTGTGTGTTGGATTGCTTGCTATGGTTCAGTGGAGTGAGCGCCTTTAAGCCCCTAGTCAATTGTATTGTGGATGTTCTGGAATGGTTTTTTGTTGGTTTGGTTTTGCGTGGTGGTTTTTTTTTTTTTAAAGATGCAGTATCTAGATGTGTAACTTTCTCAAGGATGTTGCTTCAGGCTGTCTAGTCTTGAAAGTGATGATGAAGAAATCACTTGCTGCTTATGGAGAAATTAGTCTGGACCAATAAAAATGAGTCTGAGCCAATCAGTTCTTGTGAAATTTGGAGAATTTGTATCTTGCCTTCCAAGATGCAGAATATTCCCTTAGTGTGCTTTACTAAGGCTCTTCAAAGTGAAAGCAGGTTATGTAGGTTAGGAAGGAGTGTCTCAAAACAACTCTGTGTAATTATATGTTTGGTTGAGGTAATTATTCTTTACAGTAAGTCAGAGCACAGTGTAGACAACAATATTGAAGTGTTGCTTCCCTAAGGAATATAGTGTTTTGTGGGGTTCTCGGGGTGGGGGTGGGGGGTTGGGGTGAAGGGGAAAAGAGAGGTGTCTGCCTGTGACATAATGATTCTGTAGGCATGAGTGTATGGGCTACAGACATCAATAATTTCAAGAGGGCCTGGGGTTTTAATTTCTCAGTCACTGGTTATTCTGCTATTCATTCTTTGGTTGGTTCTTCTATGGGTTTTTTTAATGCTAGTTCAGCAAATAGTCCCAGCAGAGATGTAAACAAATTCAGAAAACTTCATCGGGTCCTAATATAGAAAGTATAAGGATGTGCCTAATACATTGTTCAAAAGAACAACCAAGATGGTAAAATTGGATTGCTTGCTATGCACAGAAGAATCCTGTAAAGGAATGTTGAGAACAAGAAAAATCCAGGGTAACCAGTGGCAGGATTTATTTATTTAGTAAAGAAGGCTTCAAGAATTGGGACTGTTGAGTGCACTGATTAGGGCAACATCCTTCTGAACTCAGAAGGAATGTTTTCTCTGCTCTCATATTAAGTATTTGTACAGCCTGCTTCTGTGCAGTTTCAGAAGCAGTTTTGCTTGGTGTGAAGTAGATTTACTGAAGGCAGAGTATTTGTAAAAGCTGCTAAAATCCAAGAAGTCTGTACTGAGTACATGTGAACAGCAGTCTCCTATCTGCGTGCACCATCTCTCTTCCAGTCCTTCCCACACTTCACAGCCTTTCATCTTGACAGAACTAGGGTAATCCTGTTTCAGGTCAGGAGGTGTATTTGTCTGACGTAAATGCTGATGTATGCTAAATCTCAGGCTTTGACTTCTAGGTCTGCGGATGCACAGCATAAAGAAAAAGTATCTGTCAGTTTGTGTATGATCTTGTTTTAACAAGTAAAATAGACTTCCCGTTTCTCTTCCCTGAGTAGCAGAATGTTATTGTTAGGGAATTTTGAGGAGAGAAGGCTTTTGGCTTAATTGACATATTTACCCTGAAAAAGGCACTTGACACTGCAAATTGCAGCTGAAATAGTTGATTACAACTTACACATGACTGGTTAATAGGACTTCACAAGAAATGCTGGGCAGTCATTAATTTTAATCTCCTCTCTATACGGTCCTCTGAGAAAATCCTAAAGCCGTATTACAAGTAAAAGCTGTATATAAGTTAATGACTTACCAAATACACTTTTTTCTTTTACCATTTTTGTTCTGATTCTAATGTTGCTTATAATGGGATATGATAATACAATTCCATTCAAAATTTGAATGGAATTAATCTGGTATTTTTTTCTTACCTGGCGTTACAAACATCTGTTAATTACCAGCTTCTGATTGGTCATTCATTTTCATGCTGTTGCAACTGTTAGTGAATTTTGCATGTGAGCGTGTGAAGCATTTGTCAGTACACGCTTTATTTTAAAAGCAGGTGCAGAGTAACTAGTAAATGTTCTTTCTACAGTATTTGATCGCTTATAGAACATTATTTGTTTTAAAGATGGGGACACCAGCGCAACAGAGAGTGGTGATGAGGTTCCTGTGGAGCTGTATACTGCTTTTCAACATACACCAACTACAATTACTTTAACTGCTACAAGAGTTACAAAAGTCAATGATAAGAAAAGGAAAAAAAGTGGAGAGAAAGAACAGAACATAGCAAAATGTAAAAAAGTAAGTGAATGTAATTTCTCTTTTTATAACTGTGTTGTAAAATTACAGCTATGTGACATCTCTGACCAAGAGACACTGGTTTTAAAAAGCAAGCTGTTGTTACTGATAATATTCTGCTACCTAGGTTTTCATTGAAATGCAATACTCTGCAGTAAATGGTACAGTCTGCCCTGCCTTCCCCCCCCCGCCGCCCCCCTTAATTCAAATTAGTATCTACTAACCATGAAAGCTCAGTTCTACAATTGAGGCAGAACATGGAGGAATTGGATTTACTGAACCACTTGGTATAGTTAGGGGTGGGGCAGAAAAGGCTTTGGATACCCAAAGAAGAATTCTCTGTCTGAGAGTCTTCAGTTGTTTTAAGTTTAGAGATGCTTGCTGTCAGTTGTCCTGATGTGTCTTCATGTCCATTTATTTGAGTCGAAATTGTGTGGAAGTATGCTGTCAGAAAGTTAGCTACTAAACTACTTTGGTAAACAGCATATTGACATTATAATGTTTAGCTGCAGGTGTAAACAATACAATATGTATGTGTGAAGGAGTAAAGTACATGGCATTTCCTAAACTAACGAGTTTGTTTATGCAGTTCAGTTTCACTGGCTTCGATGAGAATTTTGTCCTTTAAAACTAGAAGTCAGAATTAGTTACCAGTATCTTTTTTTTTTTAATCTTAAGTAAAATGTTTCCTTTTGAATGAACAGTTTTGAGTATAAACTTACTACCGCATATTCTTCTGTTATCTCCCCACATTGTGTGAGATGATTTAAAGAACAAGATTTTGCTGTAGGGTGACAAACTTATTTGAAAAGTTAACATTATAGGACACCTATGACACCCACTTCCCCCTCCCCTCTTTCCACAAATAGTGTAGTGAAGGATGTGGGTGATTTACAGATTTGCCAGATAAGTATGGAGTGATCTGTAAGTAACTTTTCAGTTCCTTTGCCTTGAATTGTGATACTCTAGAGAGTCATGTTGTAATATGGGAGCAACATAAGGGTACCTGGGCTACTAGCTCTGACATCCAGTATGCTCTTAGTTTGGAATGCTGAACTGGTTTTTGAAATATATTTCATATGTATGATGTAACCTGTTGCCGCCTTGAAATTACAATGTAGTTTGTTCTGTCATTGTCGTCTTGCATGTTTTATTGAGAATGGTCCACACTGAAAAGCTGTTAATTTGTTAATAGATACTGAATTCCTTAAGAGATTTTTATATTTCCTCCAAAGAATATAAATATGTAATGTTGTTTCAGGCATTTCGAGAAGGATCCAGGAAATCTTCACGAGTAAAGGTAATGTGAGTTTGTTTGGGTTTTGTTTTAAACTTTAATTGTACAGTGCCGAAATAATATGAAGCATCAAGAGTGCAATTTGGGTTATGTATTAAACACTAAAATAATTTTAATAACTAATGTACTATATATGCATCACAGTAATTTTGATTTAAGGTGTGAGCACTACATTTTTATGTCCTGCAAAGTTAACAGAAATAGTGTAGTGTAAATTTTTATTCTGAAGATACTTGGTTTTCAAGAACCAGTGGAGGAATTAGGGCTAATTTGTGCTATGCAAGGGAGTAGAGCTGAGTGCAGACCTCACTTGATCTTAGTAGCTCCAGCTTTTCATAGCTCTAAGCAGCAAAAGAACAAAATAGCTATATTGCGTTTGAAATCTTAACTAGTGGTTCTGCTCTGTTATACCCCTGTGTATTTGTCTGGTGGGACTCAACTTGCTAGTGCTAGCATAGTTCAAGAAATTGTGTTGGGATGTCTACTGTGTAAGATTTTAGTGTTACAGCAGTCTTTTAAGTTTTCTGTGAGATAAAAATATACATGGTTTGAAAACTAGATATTTCCTGTAGTTTTATTTATTCTTGAATTATATAAAACCAAGTGGGACACAATTTGCGCTTCAGATGTATAAGATGTGACTTGCCAATAGTGAAGACAGAATTGAGGGAGAGAATCTCTTACTTTGTGCTTTTTGAATGTGGTGTTTGTAAGTTTCCATTATGTTTTTTCATGGTTTTCTTAGCATCACACCTTTTTTAATGCTGTTTGTGTGCGTGGTTCTCTTGATGCACAAAAGAAACGTAATCAGTAACAGGTAAATTGAATTGCTGAACTACTTGCTGTTCTGTTAATGTTTAATAGTGACTCTGCTCAGGTGGATAGAAAAGGGAGCATTGGTTGGCTGCTGCTGTCCGTAAGGAGCATTGGTTGGCTGCAGCCTGGCTGCTCCCTGTGAGGTCTTGAGGTACAACAGCACTTTCTTTAAAAGTGAAAGGATCTGAGGCACTGCGAAAGAGAATTGTTCAGTGAGGAACAGATAAGGGGAGAAAAATGATGTGCAGTTCCTGTGACGTTAGAGTCGCAACCTTAATGTAGTTGGTCTAGGATTAATAAAGTTTAGCAAGATGTGAAGCAGAAAAAAGATACAGCATGACCCTTGAGGTTGAAAGGGGAAAATCAAATCTGCGTATTATAAGATGGAAACTGGAGTACTTTACATTTGCATATGTTCACAAACTTGAGTAGGAGAGGAGATCTGACCCTCCAACTCTTGCACTCCTAGATTCATGATGCAGTGCAGTTGTGGGAGAAAAATGTCAGTCTCAGTTGTCACCCCACTAAAAGCTAGAATCCCTGTGGAAGGGGGAATTGTATTCCTGAACTTGGGTGATACTTATAAAATGATAAAATTCATAAGAGGACAAATGTAATGCTACTGAATTAAACTCGGTGCTTTTAAGTAATGTAAAATTTTATACCGGACTTCCTTAACAAAAAAAAAGACACCACCCTTAAATCAATGGCATACCTTTGCCCTTCATTTGTGTCTAGTTGTAGACTGACTTTCTTGTTGTAATATGTTTTTCTTACCTTGTAATACCTGGTTACTTTAATTTTTAGGGCTCAGCTCCAGAGATTGATCCTACTGACACTTCGAACTTTGGATGGGAAACTAAAATCAAGGCATGGATGGATCGTTACGAAGAAGCAAATAATAACCAGTACAGTGAGGGTGTCCAGAGGGAGGCACAAAAAATAGCTCTGAGATTAGGCAACGGAAATGACAAAAAAGAAGTCAGCACCAGCAATCTGATTTTCAAACCTCCAGTAGAGGTAACTAGCTGTGCCATGTTGTGTTGTTGCATGCTGGTTTTGTGCCATGACAAAGACAGTCATTTAGATGCCTTTTTTTTTAAAAAAAAAAAAAGGAGGGGCCTTCACATTCATTTTCTGTATCGCCTCACCTGATCTAAGCATCAGAGTTTTAACAGCTTTTTCAGAATTTATAATTGATTTTCATGCATCCTATATCACACTGATATTTTACTCTTGCCTGTCAGTTCTCATAAAAATAACTGAGGTGCTAGCCTGAGTCTGAACGTTGGATTGTCCTTAGACTGTCTTTTGTGGTGGGCATAACACAGTAAACCTTGCTGCTGTGTCTCTGCGCTGTGAGGAGTATCAGGAGTGGTTAGAGTAGATCATAGTATCATTTAAGTTGGAAAAGACTTTCATGATTATTGAGTCCAACTGTAAGCATTGAAGTTGAAATCTCTTTTTTCTGCTATGTGTATCAACTTGTTAAGTGTCCACATTTTTCTTAAGATCTGGTAAGTCTGTTCTGGATTTTTAGGTTTTCAGATAGAATAGAATTTCATTTCCAGTTAATGAAAGATGTTCTGATGGTAGAAGGTGATACTCTGATACTGGGGGGATAGGGTGTAGTTGTTTGTTTGTTTGTTTGAACTCTTGTGATCCTGTAATTTCTAGTTTATGAAGAAATTGTGCGATGTCTTTTTCTGTCCTTAACATCAGCTACTTATCAGCTTAAAATCAGAGCCATACAACAGACCTTAGCCTTTTGTAACAGAAATCTTAAGGAGTGGTTACTGTAGCAGATTAGTGGAAGCATCTTTGCTTCTTTTCCTCAAAGACCATCATGGCATATGGGACACCCTCCTTAGAGGAATATCCCTGCTTACAGAGTGTTTTGCCTACATAGAGGCTACTTCCTTTTTGATTGACAATGACAGTTATGAGAGGTGTGAGTTCATTAATTGTCAGGGTGTGTATTGTTTTTTAACTAAAAGCCATCCTTCCATCTAAAGATAAGGAAAAAAGAAATTTGGAAACTCTCTCAGGATTCTTTTTTTATTATTACTTTGTTACTTTCCTGTTCTGTTTCCTTGAGTGGATCACAAGTGTCCTTTTATGTTTTGTTTTGTTTGAGGAAACTGAAGCCTTTTGAAAGTGTTACGCAAAACAATGCAGCAATTTGTCCTAGTAGTGGTGAGAGTTAAGTGTGCTGAAGGATATAGTACTTGAATTCTGAGGGCATCAATGTGCTGGTTTTCAGCCATGTACTGGAGAGCTAGGGCTAAAGCATTCACTGAATCTAAATTCATAACTAATTGCATTGGTAGGGGAACAGGACAGTTTGATCAAGTCAGTCTGGAGGTTTAATTACAAAAAGGAGGGGGTTTTAGTTCATATAGATTGTGGAAGTATAATCTGCTGTTAACAATAATATAAGTGGTAGAAAATGATACTTCATAAAGTAACTTATGTCTTTCAGAGTTACGTGCAGAAAAACAAGAAAATTTTAAAAGCTGCCAAAGACTTGCCTCCTGATGCACTTATTATTGAATACAGAGGAAAGTTCATGCTGAGAGAACAATTTGAAGCTAATGGATATTTCTTTAAAAGGTTTGTTTATTCCAAATGTTTTAATAAGGTGGCTGTTAAAATGCTGTTTGGCCAAGCTCTTGCCTCAGATATAAGTGGGTCTTGGTTACCAGCAGTGTCTTGCATTTTACTGCTGTGTGATTAAAAATAATTGCAGCTGGAATCTGGTCTCCCCATTCTCTTGTGGATGTCCTTACAGATCTGTTCAGGAGTTAGTTTCCCCTTTCTTTTTTCTACCCTGGTTACAGGATTCTGCATTCTCAGTTGGGTAAATGTGCACCTTAAACCAGAGATTGGCAGGTTCTGCCATCATAAAATTAATCAAAAAGTAGCGGCAAAGATGCTCTCTTTTGTGAGAGAAATAGATTTTGAAGTCAGGGTGAGAACATAATTGGGCACAGATTAACTTGGGGCTATTTTGCTGCCACAGTTCTCCAAATGGTCAATTTACTGAGCAGTGTGTGACTGCTTCCTTCTTCCTGTGGATGACTGTCAGTGCTGCCATTAACTGCACAGACACGCCTGCTTGGGAAGTTGCAAGAGGCCTGTTGGAGCAGAAAGAACACAGAACTTTAGCTCAGTAAAGATGGAAGGGTTCCCTGACACACACAATAGCAGAACTTAAAAGCACATTTTGGAAAAGTATTTAGATGCTCCCTTTCTTCAGGAGTGTTGGGTGCTAGTGATAGTGCAGGTGTTAGGCAAGGATGTGGAGGTGTTATTTTTGTTCTGGTTTTTTTTTATGATTGAGGCATCAAAATTTCTACCCGAGTTTCATTTTAGGACCTGCTATAAGAAAAGTTTAATAAAGTTGAAGAATCTTAACCTCGTGTCTTCATTTTAGTGCTTGCTCTGCTACTGTTTCTTGCTTTAGATGCTATGCAGAAGAATTACATTCAGGGCTATAATTCAAACTTCTAGTATTCTGAGAATACATTTGGAGAACGTACCAGTTAGTCATGAATCTTGAATACAAATGTGTAATTCTCAGATTAACTCACATATTTGGTGTATAGTGCCAAACATCATGTTACGAAGCTAACTAATGGGAAAAATAAGTGATACTTAGCATCTTTAAAAATGAGAAGACACTGTTTTTCTTCTATCCTTTTCAGGCCATACCCATTTGTTTTGTTTTATTCCAAATTCCATGGGCTAGAAATGTGTGTTGATGCAAGGACTTTTGGAAATGAAGCTCGATTCATCAGGCGTTCGTGTACGCCAAATGCAGAGGTGAGCATATACATAAATGAGGTTTTATTTATTTAGAAATCCCCTTCTTGATTTTCCCAACAGATAATTGGAGCAATCCCTACTATTTCTATACGGGTACGTGGGGGTGGAAACAAAGTAATTCATGATAATACAGTAATATTCTCTTGAATATAGGTGAGGCATGTAATTGAAGATGGAACAATTCATCTTTATATTTACTCTATCCATAACATTCCAAAGGGAACAGAGATTACTATAGCATTTGATTTTGATTATGGAAATTGGTAAGTATTTGAGCATGCTGTTCTAAAATATATCTAATGCTTAATAAATTATCTTGCATTGTGTGGCTTTGTTTGTATGTCATTTACTTTCTTGCATGCTTTAGTAACAGGGCTCCTTAAGCACTGTATTTACAGTGAACAGTGGGGGGGGGCAGGGGGGCAGGGTTTCTTCTGTATTTTTGCTACTGCATATCTGCTGCTAATTTTAGCAATAATTATTGTTACTTATAAATGATGTGGAAGAGATACAAATGTAAATGAATATCAGTAAAGATGTACTATGAAAATCTGTTGTATTTAGGTGTCCCATAGTGTGGTGAGAGTACAGGGAAGAAAATCTATAATTATTTGGTAATGCCCTGTTTATTGCCGAGTGCCTCTGTAACATAACTTCAGGAAGACAGTGTCTATGGAATTGTTACAAATTATGTTAGTTTAATATGGGATTAATAATGTTGAAATACACTGAATGCTTAGTGCCTTAAATTCTATAACTATTAAACGTTTTCCTGACTAAAACTGCTGCTCCTTTGATGAATTGGGGAAAGCTCTAAGAAACTGTTGCCTTTATTTGTAAGCATCGTTCTGAAATAGTAAAGGAAATAATCGGTTAAGTTCCACCTGTGTATGTTGGAACTATTATTCAAACACCTTTTTGAAATCTGATGGCAGACTACGGGCTTTGAGTGATATAATCTAGTAATGATTTCTCTTGGCTAGTAGGAAATGTTCTAGGGTATAGGTGTGTAGTGCAGGAACGTTTAGGCTAATGCTGCCCTTGGAAACTGAAGCAGTGAGTTGCCTATTTCTGCATGTGCACTTGGTCAGGTCCAGAAGCAGCCCAACTGTTTCCCGTGATGCTACACCAAGGTAATAACTTTTCTGTGGTCTGCTGACAAGTCGGCTTGGGTGCAGCGCTGTGCAGACATGCCTTCGCTGCTTCTGGATGTGAGCTAGTTATGTCCATAGAGTACTACCTGTGTTAATCAACTTGCGATCAGACTACTTCAATACACCTTGCCCTGTTAAGTGTTCTGTACTTACTCGTACATCCCTCACATGAAGAAAATCTGAGAAATTGCCTGGTTGCTAGGGTTTTTTGGGTTTTGTTATTTATCCTTTTGAAAGTATGTAGTATTTGTTGTTTAGTACCTGTAGCTGACAGCCTGTGTAAGTTGAATGTGTTTGAATAACAGTTCCTGTGTGTCCAAGTGGAACTTAAAATTGTGTTAAGTGACTCCAGGTTCTTTTCAGCGTGCTTGTTCTGTGAATTGTCTACTGCCTTTGCATAAAGCACAAGCTCTCCTTCCATACATCTGTTAATTTCTGAATGTGGTGGTTATATTTCCACCCAGGATGCACTCAGGTTTTAGATGTCTTCCATCTTTCAAGCAAATTCTGATAACCAGTAGTTGAGATTTTTGAATTACAGCAATATTGTATATCTTGGTGAAAATTTGACTCAGCTGCTTTTGATATGGTTGGTTTGCATCATGGCAGATGTTTAATATGAAATGTGTCAGCTTCTGTGATTTAGTGCTGAAAAGTCTCGTTGCTGTACGGCCTAATCAAAATACTCTTTCTTGCATTTAATTGCTTTTAGTAAATACAAAGTGGATTGTGCTTGCCTCAAAGAAAATCCTGAATGTCCAGTTCTTAGACGTTCTGAGCCTACAGAAAACATCAATACTGGATATGAGACCAGAAGGAAAAAGGGAAAGAAAGAGAAAGATATTTCAAGAGAAAAGGAGACTCAAAATCAGAACATCACATTGGACTGTGAAGGAGCAGCCACCAAAATGAAAATTGCAGATAATAAACAGAGGAAGCTCTCTCCCCTCAGGCTGTCCATTTCTAATAATCAGGTATTGACACAAAGATGATCAGAGAGAAAAGCTTTTAAATACAAATACTCTCCTCTTGTAGTTACTAAAGGAATTTTAAAAAGTCACTGAAAAGGGGTATGGAGATTTATCAAAAGTTACAGTGATGGATAAGCTGTTTAGAATTTTTATATACTTTTTTTCAGTTTTCCTTGATTGTAGAATCATAGAATAGTTTAGGTTGGAAGGGACCTTTAGAGGTCACCTAGTCCAACTCCCCTGCAGTGAGCAGGGACATCTTGAGCTAGATTAGGTTGTTCAGAGCCCCATCCAACTTGGCCTTGAATGTTTCCAGGGATGGGGCATGTACTGCCTCTCTAGGCAACTTGTGCCAGTGTTTCACCACCCTCACTGTGAAAAATTTCTTCCTTAAATCCTGTCTAAATCTGCACTTGTTAACTTGTCCTGTCACTACAGGCCCTGTTAAAAAGTTTGACCCCATAGTATTTGATTGTATTTAAAGATACATTGGTTCCCATACCAGTTTTAACTATATGTTTTCACTCCTGCTTTGTGGATTTCTAATGTGAAAGCCTCATGTCATGCTTTCAGGAGCTCCCACTGCATCCTGAAGTGTCTTTTGGTCAGTTTGCCTATGTTACTCAGGAGCATTGCATTTTAAACATAGCAGTAAGTAGCCCTGCTCCTATAACAAGTAACACTTCCACCCAGAATATGAACTGTTGGCTGCAGCTCTGTGTAGAAGATTAGGTAGAGCTTGGGGAGTTGGGAGGAGGAAGGTGTGTTTTGAAGCTAAACACCAGATAATAGGTGGATAGTATGGTAAAGCTACCTGGTAACATACCATGGTAGTTAATTTGAAACTAGTCTTTCTTCTACTATGTCAGTTTGAAAGAACTAGTGGGAAAAAATCCATGGGATTACTTATTAACTTAATTTTTCAAAGCAGCCATTAAAGATAAATATTTAACATGAGAAGATGGTTACTTTAGTAACTGTCTCTCTTTTCGTTCTTTTTGGGGGTGATGGTGGTGATTTTTTTCCTTATCTGATGGTTTTTGATGATAATTTAGGAGCAGAGAGAAAGGAGTTAGTCTGGGAGGGACCCATTTCACAGAATCACAGAATGGTGGGGATTGGAAGGGACCTCTGTGGATCATCTAGTCCAACCCTCCTGCCAAAGCAGGGTCACCAAGACCAGGCTACACAGGACCTTGTCCAGATGGGTCTTGAATATCTCCAGAGAAGATCTCTACAATGCCTCTGGGCAGCCTGTTCCAGTGCTCCGTCACCCTCAGAGGGAAGAAGTTCTTCCTCAGAAGAACCTCCTCATTTCCAAGTTCTTAAGCTTTTAACATAATTTAGGAATGAAGGAAATAAGGTGAAAATAAGCATATTAACCCCCAGTTTTCATAAGATGATCAAATTTTTCTGGGGCTTTAGCAGCTAAATGCCTTAAAAATGCTTGGAAGTCCAGAAGGCATGGCATGTGACTGTTACAAATTATAATCTCCAGAGGCAACATTTAAACTTTCTCAAGTGATTTTTTGGTTTTGTGGTTTGTTTTTAACAAATGATAACTGGTATTTGGAGCATTCTCCTGAGATTTTAAGGTACTGTACAGTGCTTATATAGAAAAGTCACTGGAGAATTCGTGTTATTTTTCAAAACTGAACTTAAAACAGTAGGAATTGTGAGAGGAATGAATCTGTTAAAATGTGTATCTAGACATAGAAGCCAGTCAATTAATAGCTTTTTTTCCTGTGGCGAGATACCTGCTAAGGTAAAAAAAGTGTATGAGAAAATGTAAACGTACTCTTAAGACAAACGTTAAAAAACTTTGTCTAGTCCTTTATGTAGAAGTGAAATTGCATATAGGATGAGTGAACACTGAACGCTTTTCAGAGTTACTGCTCCACGGTTTGGGGTTTATTTTTCCAAAACAGAAAACCATTATTAGTTAGCTAACTCTTGTGTTTCCTTATAGTATGGCACTGTCATTAGATTATATAGTAAGAGTTTAAATAGAAAAGGTGACTTTAACAGAATGTACCTTTGAGCTGAGAAGAACCTCTATGTGATTGTTAACATCTTTGACATTCACTGTATTTCACTAAAACTGGTGCTTTTGTTTTTAATGGATGCATAATGTACAGCTCCTGATGCGTTAACAGATTATAAAGTGACTAGATTAGTGGCCGGTGTTAGTGCCCAAAAGTTTCTATTCATTTGGAGGTTTAATTCTGATTTTTTTTTTTTTTGGTTGGTTGGTGGGGTGGGGGTGTGGGGATGGAAACCCAAAATTTCAATAAGATCGCTATGCTAAACAAAAAAGATACAGATGTGTCTAAGCTCAGAATGGAAAAGATCTAATTAGGTGATGATATTTACAGGTTTATACAAAGGTACAAGTGGATATTAGTGGTTTTTTACATTTTTGTCTTGATTTATTGGCTTGGTTACTTTTGATGCAGTGATCTGAGGGTTCTTAGTTCTGTGTAGCTTTTACTTTTCCCTAGTTCGCAAGAGTAGTAGAGCTTCTGTAAAGCAGTCATTTCCATCTTTCAGGAGCCAGATTTTATTGATGATATAGAAGAAAAAACTCCCATTAGCAATGAAGTAGAAATGGAATCAGAGGAGCAGATTGCAGAAAGGAAAAGGAAGATGGTAAGTTGGGAAGCAAGTAGCTGCCTAAAGTTGTCACTAAGGCTTAGTGACACCTGCTCTTCCCATGCTAATTGCTGCCTTTTTGTAGGCCTGTAGAATCGGAGTGTATATATGAAGTCAGACCCTTACATAAACTTCAACTTAAAATGCAAGGCTTGCTATTTGAGAGCATTTCATCTGGCTTGATTGTTGCTTTCTGAAAAAACCTGCTTTTATCTTCAAGCGTATATAATTTTCTGTTGCCTTTAAAAAAGATACTGTGGAAATCATCTAGATTTTATTTTCTTCAGTCTTTACTGTTGCATGTTTTTTGTAATGGCTATTTTATGGATAGTACTTGGAGTCAGGATTTTTGCCTGGCTATTTTTTTGAGTCCCCAATTTACAAACCTCAGAAATCCTAATTTTCAGGGGTTGGTAGAACAGTATAATGTAAACTGGCATTTTAAAATGTGCTTTTCGTGTTAGGCATTCAGAATGTTAGATGCTTGAAATTACTAATGAAATCAAAATCTTGTCCGAGTTTTACAATGAAATACTAGTATTTGGAACTTTAATTTTATTGTTCATGCTCACAGAACTTCTGAAAAGTGGAGTTCATGGTGGCCGCAAAACTGTCGGCATCTGCCCGAACCTTACAAAAATAAAGGGGGATGGGGGTATACATCTGTTTTCTACAGTATTTCCTACAACTGTCAGTAGCAAAATTGACAAGACTTGTGTTTATTAGACATTAGAAAGCAAAATCTGCTCAATTAAAATGGATATTTTAATACAGAATCTGAAGAATGACAGCATGAGCTCTAATATTAACATATAACAGTGTCTTGTGGGGGGGCATGGGGAAATGACAACATGGACGGATGGACATGATGGGACACAATTTACATTTGTATTTACATTCTTGTATTCTTTTTAAAGTAAAGTGTGAAACTTAGTTACAGTACAGTTGCTGTAGTAGTTAGATGTAATTGTTACTCTAGCTCCATTATGAGGGTTGCAAATAACTGCAAGTTTGCTTGTATTTTACCAAGCGAACAGAGGCAGGTTCAGTGGCAAAACAAAACTGAGTTCCTCATTCACTCATATGAGCAATATATTTGTGCATACTTCTTTCTTTGATATAAACACATTGTTGCTGACAATGCATTGTTGAGCTGCAGGCATTAATAATAAAAAAAAAGTTCATAATAGAAGCTCCCAATTCTGCCACCTATGTATTGTCTTAGGCAGAGCTCTGTGCAGATAGAGATCTGCCTCTGTACAGCACTAGGACCTGATTTACAGATAGACAGAAAATTTAGCTTCTCTTTGACCTGATCTGATCTTTTTTTGAAATGGTGATTCTTGGATGTTGGTTGTATGTTTTGATGTAGTTTTTGACACTTGGAAAATTGTGTCAGAGGATAATGGAGCCTTCTGTTGTTGTTTCATACATGTATTAGTATTTCATATATTGTCATTAATGTTTCATTGGTTTTAAATACTATACATGCAAGTAAGTGGCTCAGCTGTACAGGTGTTTTGTGCTTATAGGCCAATGAGTTCTACTAGTAAATCACTATTTTTAGCAAGTTCTTAAATCCAAAGCAGGATCCTCTTCTTGTTTGTCAGAGTTGCTATGAATGCAAGCCTTTCTTCAGAAGTTGTAATAATTGCAGTCATTGTAACATCTCCCTTTCCTCTGAGCTTTCGCTGAAATTGATCTGTATGTCAACAGACAGTGAACATGTTCTGAAGTACTTATAATATTTATGTATTTACATATGCAAAAGATTATGACTGAAATGTGATCATGGTAATTATTAAATCTATCAGACAAGAGAAGAACGGAAAATGGAAGCTATCCTGCAAGCTTTTGCCAGACTAGAAAAAAGAGAAAAAAGAAGAGAACAGGCTTTGGAAAGAATCAGCACAGCAAAAACGGAGGTTAAATCAGAATGCAAGGAAGCGCAGATTCTCAATGATGCTGAATTTATCCAGGTATTTTTCTGGAACTGTTTTTTTAAAGCTAGTTTTTAACATGGCATATTTTATCAGTTTGGATGTTGAGCTACATTTTGGGATGTATGAAATGCCTTTTTTTTTTCTTTTCTTCCTTCCCTCTGAAGTCAAATATATTTGACCAAAATCTATTATGTTAGCTCCTCATTCTTTTTTTTCCCAAGAAAGTATGCATAGAATTTGTTCATGAGGAATTTCAATTACATTAGGTTATGCAAATGTGCATGCACACACCAGCTGTATAATTCAGTCTCTCTTTGAAGTTCAGGCTGGGAGGTGTTCAGCAATGCCGTCTTCCGCCACAGGAGGTGGCTTTGCTTAGGCATCCTCTGTAACCAGTGAAGAACAACTTGCTTCTTTAGTGGGTTGTTCAGGAACAGATTATAATCCTTTCTTTTCTTTTAAAGAAAAGGAATTATTAAGGCATATTTTTTACTGAGTTCTTGTAGATGATACTTAATGTTTCATACACAGTTCTTTGTTGCTTTTTCTTGCTGGATGCTAGTATGATGCTTACCTTGCAAATACTTCTACAGATTCCCAGTTCAGGTTGTTTCCCTGGATAGTATTTGTCAGCATGCTGTTAAGTACCTTTTGTGACAATGCTAAACACTTATTAAACTAAATTACAAAAAAGGCTGTGAACTGAAAGACATCATGATGTAAGCAGCTGATTGCCAGTTTATGGATGAATGAATGTGGTGTCGCAGTTCTTACACAAATCTGTGGTGATCTGACCAGTGACTGGTGTGTGTGAATACTCTGCCAACGATCTGTCAGGTCCTTGGGAGGAAAAATGTGTTGTAGTTTGCCTTGAAGGATAGAAATGTTCTCTCTGAAGTATTTTAGTTCTGACAACAAAAAGGAGGCTTTTTGGACATGTAAAGGAAGGGGGAACTGACATTTTGTTTTAAGAAACATATGTAGCTTTATATGTATGTGGCATCTGTTTACTAGACTTCTGTTTTATACCAGGAACCAGCAAAAGAGGAAGCTGCTACCAAGCCTACTCCAGCCAAAGTTAATAGAGCTAAACAGAGAAAAAGCTTCTCACGAAGTAGAACTCACATTGGACAGCAACGTAGGCGACACAGAACTGTCAGTATGTGTTCAGATATCCAGCCGTCTTCTCCTGATGTGGAAGTAACTTCACAACATAATGAAACTGAGAATACTGCACTGGTAGCTGAGCCTGAAACAGAAGCTGTTGTTACAGAAATGGTTACTGAAACAGAAGCTCCAGCACTTAATAAATGCCCTGCGAAGTATCCTAAAACAAAGAAGGTATGTCTCTTAGGGGATGAGGAGGAAAAGAGGATGGAGTTTAACAGAGTTTTAAAAAATTAGACTGCTGCATCAGTATGCAACTACATATAGATTTTTTTTTTTTAAAGTTGACTCATTTCTTAGAAAGTTACCATTACATAGCCACCCCTGGTAATAAATTAGAAGATGAAAAAAGTTATGTGTAACATCCATTGGTAGAAGTTATTTTGGATTTTAAGAGACTTCCAAAATACATCTTTCAGAACAATTTTGGAATAAATTATTTCTATGGGAAGTGCTTTCTAAATAGGCTGAAGTAATATACATAACCAAATCATAATTAAGGTGTTAATTCAAAGGGAAAAAAAAAAGAAGGTAAATAAACTGCCTTTCCTTCTTTGGTTCATCGTATGCTTTGGAAGGTATTTTAGTGGTAGCAAACAGAGTATCTCGAAGGAGATCATTAACTTCTAGTGCTTCTGAGATGTCTGTTCTGAAGTGAATGGTTTAAACACTCAAAATTTGTGTGCATGTTTGGAGGGAAGGTTTGTTGGACTGCATTGCAGAAAGCTTGGAAGGAATGCCACAATATTTAAAGACACTCAAAAAAATACTAAATATGCAAGATTTTTTTCAGCATGCTTTACAAGTTCTTCCAGAAGTTTTATTCAGTGGAGGGGTGCAGAGATGAAGTCATAGATTGAACTTCTTGTCAGATGAACAGTAACAATTTCAAGATGGTTTTATCTTAAACCTCTAAGCATACTGAACTTTTTTGTTTTCCCAGAAGTCACCTGAGTCATCCTGTAACATTGCTTATTGTATCACTATTAAATTCTCATCAGGGGGAGGCTAGAATCTATTTCTTCCTCTTTTGCATGTTGCATAGAAAAAAGAAGGAAGATATCTGAGAAGTTTGAATCTTACTGTGCTTTTTTGCTGTTTCATAGTATTAAGGATAAATGTTTGAAATATCTCATTGCGTTGTACCCATTGTACCCTAAGTGAGGAGAAAGTCCCGCGTTAAAAATGAGTTAATAAATATAAATAGGTTTGTAGAAGATGAGCAACTTAAATATATTATGAGAATCTGTGTTAAAGCTTTAATATCAATAATATTTAATGTGCTATTTTGCATGTCCTTAACTTTGTTGAAGCAGTGTAGAATTTAGGACATTAGCTTCTCTGTTAATAGGAACTAAAATCTACTGGCACATTTTTCAAAAACACTGAACTGGCTACGAAAGAACACCGTTTGACACGTGTGCTGGGTGAAATGTGTTGTAATTTAATACAACTATAATAATGAAGAATGTTCAAGCTGTGTGCCTGGCATGTTGACTGAAGCACAGTCCTGACAGTATGGAAATCTGATGTGGAATTCACTTAACTTTGTTCTGTTAATATTGCACTATTTCACCTCAGCTTAGGTGCTCAAACACAATTTTAAAACTTGTCTTGGAATTCTGTTACTAAGTTCACATTGTAAGTACAGTTGATCTGGACGTTTGTACATTCAATGAGAATTAAATATAGAAGAAGTAAATGGTAGTTCATAAAAAGAAACACCAAAAAAACCACAAAATCACCAAAACTTTGGTATGAGGAGCAAATCTATGTGGATTCCTTCTGGTGTCCCCTTTATTTCACTAAAAATGTCCTCGTTCTGGGTATTCTTAAATTTACAGCCAGGGAACTAGCTGTTTTCTGGTTTGTGTAACAGTTCACTAGGTGAATAATTAGACTTAAAAATTTCTAAAAGCCACTGATTAAAACACTTAGAAACCACTAATTTTTTTCTGTCTCTCTGTTTAGCACTTGGTCAGTGAATGGTTGAGTGAAAAGAGTGATAAAACAGGGAAGCCTACAGACAGTCTATCAGAAAGGCCTCTGCGCATAACTACCGACCCTGAAGTTCTGGCTACTCAACTGAATTCTTTACCAGGTCTCACTTACAGTCCACACGTATATTCAACTCCAAAGCACTATATTCGTTTTACTTCACCATTCCTTTCAGAAAAGAGGAGGAAAAAAGAACCTGTGGAAAACATTAGTGGCTCTTGTAAGAAGGTAATGCTTGGCTTCATTATGGTTCCCCATCCCATATTAATTAAAAATAAGTCTTTATTTGCTAGCACGAATTCAGTCAGAAAAAAGCTGGTTGACAAACCAGCTCTGTTCTGAAATGCTTGTCATTTAACTGTGAAGTCACTGGTTTGAACTTGTTTTATTACAGCGTTGGTTGAAGCAGGCTTTGGAAGAAGAAAATTCAACAACGATTGATAGATTTAATTCACCGTCACAAGAGAGATCTAGAAGTCCAGCCATCAATGGTGAAAATAAAAGTCCTTTGTTGCTGAATGACAGCTGTTCCTTAACAGGTGAAGCTTTTACTAATACAGTACATAAGAGCTATGTCAAAGCAGTTAAATGTGGAGGACTGTTTTTTCAAGTGAGGAGTTAATGAAAATTCCAGGGGTATTTGGCACTCTTCCTTGATCGTTTCTTTGAAAGAAGTGCTTAGTTTCATAGTGGTTGGGATTTCCCCCCCCTTAATATATAATTGATACTAGATAAGTAACAACCATATCTTACAGTGTTTACAGCCAACAAAAGACTAGTAGTTTTGACTATGAATATTAAGAGGTTAGCTTCTAAACTGATCTTCAGTGCTGTTCTGTATATTCAGAATTTCTTTTGAATTCAGTGGGCCTACGTTGCACACAGAAAAAAAGCTGTATAATCTTTCAGGCATAATACAAACTGGGAACATGTGAAAACCTAAACACACTTGTGTAAGGATATGGAGCGTATCACATGATTCCTGTGTACAGTCCGGAACTTGGAATTTCCCCTCTTTAGCTGAACAGTCTTAAAAATGCATAGAAGTTGACTTTCCCTGTTTGTTCCCATCATCCTAGCACAAAAATTTCAGTTACTGATATATCTGTAGGCTGTTAAGAGTTTATTTTTCAGGAAGTCTGTAGGCTGTTGGGAGTTCATCTTTCAGGAAGCCTGCTGTTACAAGTTTTTTTGTAATCTTAGTAATTTTTTAATGTGGTGTTCGTAATTCCATTACATCAAGTACTTATACAACCGTAAGTGATTATTAGATCTAGATCTCTTCTACCTTTTTCCTAATTCTAACACACAGATCTAACTACACCACTAAAAAAAAGAAGACTGTATCAGCTGTTGGAGTCTGCATTCTCAGAAACCTCCACGCCTACTCCTTCTCCGTATGCCACACCGACTCATGCTGACATCACTGCCTCCGAGCCATCGTTGTTTGCTACTCCTCCTAGGGTAAAAACAGAAGATGAAGCTTGTAGAAATGGTTACAAACCCATATATTCACCAGTTACTCCTGTAACTCCATGTATACATGGAAATACCATGCACTTTGAGGTGAGATTTTTATAACGAATTTCAGTGTGTTCAGAAAATGTGTTTACACATTCTAGAGCAAATCAGTATTCGTACTTGTGCTGCAAGGGGGTGTTTTATGTTACTCCAGGCTAAAAAAGAAATTGACTTGCAATTTCTTCTTATTTATTTAGAATATTTCCTCACCGGACAGTTCCCCAGAAATAAAAAGGCGAGCTTACAGTCAAGAGGTAAGGATATTTGGCAAAAACTGCAAATGGTACCTAGATTTCACCTGTGTGGCTGCACCGTTCTTAGTAGATCCTTCTCACCAGCCATTGCAAGCCATTCCTGGAATGTAAAGGGTGACTTCCCTGTGGGTTTTATTTACTTATTACTGTATATTTCCACTTCACCTGTTTCATTTTCTATTTTAAACTGGTTTCTCTCTCCTCTGTATCACTTAATCCTGATGACTGTCATGGAAAGGAGTAACTACTGCATTTTATAGTTAAGAACAGAAAAATAACACTTGTGCTTTTCAGACTGTACTTAGATTTAAATGAACATTTCTCCTTGTTGCTAGCATCTCTTTAATTGTTTTTGTTGAGCCTAATCATGCTCAGAGTGAGAGATCGGAGCAAAAAGGTAATAAATGGCTTTAGGTGGATTAGCTCGGGAGCGGGAGCAGAAAGTGCCGTTGGTATGTGCCCGGCATTCCCAGCCAGGGTTGGACATGCCCTGCTGCAGGGCTGAGGCTGCTGGCTGGGCAGCTGGAGGGAAGCAAGGCTCCGAAACACAGGAGCTCCCACAGGGAACCCTCAGACTGGGAGCTAGGAAACCTTCCACAGCCACACAGAGCTCCAATTCGATGTGATAGCTATGCAGGGTGCGTAAAGGCCTTGAAGTGGAACTTAATGGCATCTGAAAGGAACAGGTGAAAATAAGGAACAATAAAAAGATTTAGCAGGGTGTACTGACAGAGACTTCTGGTGAGTCGTGTGAATGATCCAGATACTCCCCTCTGGGAGTCAAGCACATATACATACTTCTTTTTTTTTTTTTTTTTTTTTTTTTGGTAAAAAATTTAAACAAATATAAAATTTTTTTTTTTTTTTTTTTTTTTTTTTTTAGGTTAAAATCTTAAGAAATGTTGAAATACACAGTGTTTTTCATACAATCATAGCTGTTGACTGAATGTAACGATTACTTCTAAACCGTTGTAACTGAATATTTTGATGTTTATCTGACTCAAAAAGAGGGGTTTTACTTAGGAACTTTCACTTCGTAATGCAAATAATTTTAAAAGGATTCATGAAAACCTTAAAACATGTTGGTTTAGAAAAGATACTTCCAGCCATGGATATGTGCTGGGTTTTTCGTGGTTAATACAGTTTAAAGAAGTACAAAAATTAGTTTCTGTAACTTAAGAATTTTTTTTCCCTCTCTACAGTGTACTGGTTTTAATACTGTCTTAAAATTCTAAAGTGTCTCAGAAAATCACCTTTTTTTAGTTTATTTTTTTTGTTCTTGAAATAAATACTTTGACACTGAGGATCCCTTTTACAGTGAATTGAAGCGGGTGCTTTGTAACTTCCTGGCCAGGGACTTGCTCCTGTTGAATTTCCTCCTCTTCCTCTGCCAATCATAAATAAAATCTGGCATTTAAGGTCTATTTTGACTTTGGTTAATGTGCATTTTATTAAAATGCTTTTACCTCATACATGGCAATAGGAGAAACAAGTGTCTGGCTGTAGAACTTTTTCTTAAAAATAGGTAAATTCATGGTACTGGAAGGCCTTTAATCTGAATGTCAGAATAGTTGCAGTTTTGTTGCAGTATGGAAAAATAGTTGATGTGCTTTTTTTTTCACACAGGGATATGACAGAGCATCGATTCTAGCACTGAATTCTTTCAGAAATTCCAACCTGACGGAAATGGGCCTGCAAGAAATAAAGACTATTGGATATTCCAGTCCAAGGAGTAGGACTGATGTCACACGGCAGTGCACTGGAGAGATGGAATCTGTGTCAGACCTCCAGCTGGGACTCGAAGTAATTGAGCAAAGTGCACTGCATAAAAACCTGGAAGCCCCCACACATGATAGGACTGATTCAAACAGCCAATTAGAAACTGCTCATTGTGGACGGGGCACAATTTATTCTTCCTGGGTGAAAAGTCCCGACAGGACAGGTGTAAATTTCTCAATGAATTCTAATTTGAGGGACTTGACTCCTTCACATCAGTTGGAGGTAGGAGGTGGATTCAGAATAAGCGAGTCAAAGTGCCTGATTCAAGACGATGCTAGAGGCATGTTCATGGAAGCATCTGTTTTTTGTACTTCAGAAGATGGAATTGCATCTGGCTTTGGAAGGACTGTCAATAACGACAACTTGATGGATGGAAATTGCACACCACCGAATCCTCCACAAAAGAAAAAGGTTATAATTTTAAGAATCTTTGGGTCTCTCTTACATAGTCTGCTAATGATACTGCCATAACAGAAGGAATCAGAATATAATAAAAGAAACCTGATGTCTTATCTTTAGATACTACAATGTATTCAGCAGAAATAATGAAGAGCAAAGATTAAAGCTGCATACACCCAGTAGTAAATTTATTTTTTCCCAAGTAATAGGTACAAATTCACTTTCATTTCATGTGAGTCTTAAATGAATTGCTCAATAAATAATTGCTTTTCAGGTTTGAAAATAGTTGCCTATGCTACCAAGTATTACAGTATTCTATTATACAGAATATATACTAGCATCATAGAGATCATATTCTGTGAACATTTGTTATGAATTGCCGTGAGAAATTGCACTAACAGATTTATGACACTGAGACTTTAAAATTCCAATTTTTATATACTGAAGGTAGCTTGGTTTCACTGTTAGAACCACACAGAAATCCTTAGTTCCAAGAAATCTGTGTCTTTGCTTAATTTCTTTTTTTATGAAATACTGTGTTTGAAAAAGAAGCATAATCTAACTTTGCTACTCTCACGAACCGGTTCTTGTAGGTCAGTTGTGTGGTCATAGGCAACTTGAACCAGAATTGGAAGTAACCCTGCGTAACTGTCTGTGACTGCACTTTAGTGTCAGGTCAGACCCTTTGCTCCTTGCAGAAAGGGTGACAAACATGGAAGGCAGTGGTCTCCAGTGCAGCAGCATGCCAGTTCTGTCTCGTAACAGACAGGAGTAATCGTTCTTGTGTCAAAGATGGGATTTATTTTCTTTATGGAAGTAATGATGAGGGGCATGGGGCCGTACTCTCTGTGTGTACGTGCATGCACAATGGGGGTTTGGCTTTTTGGTCCCGTCACACACCCCCTGTACACACCTCCTTCACTGTGCTCTGGGGATATCCTGCTAGGGAGCACTCCATGGTTCTTCCTTCAGAAGTTGTCCATCAGAACTGGATTTTTGTTTCCGTTGTTTCAAACTAAGACGTGACTGAAGTAAGATAGTAGGAGGTCTGTTCTTACTGGGTCCTGACCGTGGGAATTTTATAGATCCTTTAAACAGATCTATCCGTTAAAGACCCATCTATATCTTAGGGTAAGAACAGTTAAAAATAATTGATTTTTCATAAAAGAAAGTTTAGGTTAAGAGCCAATCTTGCTTTCAAATAATTTGTGTTATTTCCACATCACATGACTGAGATCTCTTGAGGAATACTGCTTTGAATAAAAGCTTAGATGTTAAGAGTGGATGAAATTATGCAGTGTGGCCACTATATACAGTATCATACTGAAATGGGATGAAATTACACAATAGCAAGAGAAAACAAGAGGAGCAAATGCCCACAGACAAGCTGCGGTAGGAAAAAACCTCCTTTAACAACAGCATATGGTATATTAGTATCTTATGTGATCCTAGGGAAAGGCTTCTGTTATTGTCTTGTGAAATTCCTGAATTTGCAGCCTTCTCTTTAGCTCAGATTCCCCCCTCCATCTTCTACGCTGTAAAAAATTGCATTTTTTTGTGTGTCCTTGGAAAGCTTGTACCCCTGAAAAGAATGGGATTTAAACACAATCTTCTCTGGTTGTTTCCTCAAACAGAACCTTTTTGACAGGAATCCTTGGGGGTGCTGGGGGAAGCCGCACCTTTTTTCACTTGGGGATTAGGGCAGCCCTCAGCCTGACAACCTGGAAGAATCCTTGTTAGCAAGAGAAAGGGAGGGAGGGTTCCTGAAGCACTAAGTGCTGCTGGGATTTGAAAAGAAATTAACTTCACCTGCAGACAAAGAAGAATGTGAAGCTACAGAAATTTTGGCCTCTTTTTGGTTTTATTTGGCTTTGCCAAAGCAGCAGGGCTACAGTAACACGCATAGAATCTGTAAAAAAACCCCTAGGATTGCAAAGCAAGCAGGCTGCCTTGGTTTCTCTCTCTATGTAGATATGGAAGTCTGCTTTTATTGAGGACTAAGCCAGTTGAATGTGAATTTTTTTCATTATTGGACTTCAGTTTCTTCATTTAGGTGCTGTATCATTCAGAGTACGTTGTTGATAACTAGAAGAAAAATCTAGGGACATTAAATCTTATTTCCACCAAACCAGTGTCATTACTGGATAAAGTAGGTCCAAATGTCAGTATTTCAGCTTTCTTCTTCAAATCCTAAAAATACATCTAAAAACATTTGAAAATTTATTTTTCTCACTGAAGGTAACTTAGTAATATTAAAGCTGTTTTCTGTGGAAGCTGCTATGTAGTGATTTTCTACATATGTGAAATAGAAGCTACTTTACCCTTCATGTGTCATCTTTTTTGGTAATAAACTTTACTTGGAATTTAGCTTTACAGTATGTTCTTAATCAGTCTCTTAGAGTGCAGCAAAGACAGAAATTCAAGATAAACTGTGAGAAGAATGAAAGGTGTGAATTCCATATGTGAAGCAGAAGCGTGCTGTGTTTTTCATGTGGGGGAGTCAGACTGAGAGCAGGATATGGCATCTCTTAAAATGAGCTTCACTGTATCAGTATCCTGTTACTAATGCTGCAGCTCCAGGAAGAACGCTGAAGTGCCTTGTAGCTTCAGCCGAGGGTAGGACTTCAGCGGCGAACCTTGTGCTGAACTGCCTCATCTTCTGCTTCTTCCCTGAGGCAGAATGCGTACTTCCTGCTCTTGGCAGAAGCTTTTCTTTACATTGCCTTTACAGTCATTCGTAGCTCAGTACTCAGTAAATTCACTGCAGATGTGGTGAAATCTCTTCACTTAATCCATCCCCATTTTCTTTTAGAACCAAGTAAATGGTACATCTTACTGAATTAAAAGTGTCAGAAAGGAAACAAGTAAACTTCCCTTCTAATTCTTGTTTGTTTTTTTTCTCTGTAGGTATCTTTATTAGAATACCGTAAGAGACAACGAGAAGCTAGAAAAAGTGGCTCAAAGACAGAAAGCTTCCCCCTGGTTACTGTATCTCCTCATGCTGCTGGTGGAGGAAATACAAGTAGTAACAACGGTGCTAATGATGGGTATAACAACAGTGGTGAAAATGGGGAGCAAACTGATAACACTGCGAGCTTACCTTTACCACTGCCAACTGCTGTTCATAATGCAGCTGCGGAAGACATTGGCAACAACTGTGCAGTTAAGGAATCTTCTTCCAGTGAGAAGAACGAACCAGAAGTTCAGTGGTAAGCCACAAAACTCTAGGACTAAAGTGATGAAGGATTACTTAATTGCAGATCTTTTCTGTTTCAAATGTGGTTTTTGTTGATTAAGGTGTGGTTGCAGATTACTGATTGCAGACCCTTCTTTCAGATTAGGAAAGAGTTGTTTTACCTCTTTCATCAAAAAATAGACCAGATACCTCATAAAGATTAGAGTGTATGAAAAATTACCTGTAAGATACTGGGTAACTTACTTTCGTTCTGCTTTGCTTTTTTATTTTCTAAGAGCAAAATAGATACTGAGCAAGAGAAGTTGCCTAGTTCTGTAGATGGTAAAACTGCGTAGGTAAAGTACAGTTGTGAATCTGTAGCAAATGGCATCGGAGAGTAGGCGTGCTCCCTCCGCCGTTGCACAGGTTGGGCTGCGTGTGCTTGCTAAGAGCTGTGGAGGAGGGAGCAGCAGTGGGGTGGGGAGGGTGCTGTAACAGCTGTGAGAGATTCCAGTCCGATGCTCAGCCTGGCCTTGGCTCTGCACTCACGTCCTTGGATCTCCAGTGCTCTGTCTGTGGGCCGAAGAGAATGGTTTCCGTCTTAAAACTTTTCCGAAAGTACTGTAGGGAAGAAGGGTGGGAGAATGATCTATATTGATTAGCAAAAGCTTCCAGAAGACTTCAGGAAGTCTTTTTTTTTTTTTTTTTTTTTTTTTTTTTTTTTATGGTATATGTTTGGGGTGTTTGTGTTT